ATTTCTCTCTACTGAACGATCGCTAACAAATGATCAATATTTCATCCGATTTGAACTTGTTTTGTCGAAAATCTGTTTTCAACTGCTAGATAGAAACGTTCTATAAGACGATCGAACTATCGATTAAAAATTTCTAAGGAAATAAATTTAATCGATTCTTATAAAAATGTTTTGAAAATAAATTTATTTGAATAGGATATTTATCGATATGGTTAAACAAAGAAATTCGAAAATAAAAAATGAAAATATTTTGTTTTTTTATATTTATCAATATAGAAGTGATGATGTACCTGATTGTTATAATCGAGTTCGTTATATTCCAGATTCTTGTAAAGTATTGTCTGATCTTTGGAAAACGGATAAAGATTTTGTAGGTTAAATAATTAAATTAAAAAAACAAATGTTTAGTTAAATAAAAGTATTGATAATGATGTATCAAAATCATTGAAAGAATTTCATTTGAGTGATGTTGCACGTTGTTATCGTTCTCCATATAGAACAAATCGTGCTTTATCGATTTTAAATCAAACAATTGATGATTTAATTCAAATACATGATGTTATTGATTCAAAAAGAAAAGAATAGCTTGAACAATTTAAAAAAATTATTGAACAAGCTAGAGATAAACAAGTATTTATTGATTTTATTTCTATTTCTTTATTTATTGATTTATTTCTAATGTAAGTCAACTATTCGTCAAACAATGACTGAACTAAGCTATTGCCAATTTAAAAAAGTTTCTGTTTTTATTATTTAAAATAAAAAATGTTTTAATGATTCTTTAATTTGTTCTACTTTTCATTTCAAAATATAATGTGCCCCATTGTTTTTTTTTGAATAACTTTTGATAGGAACATCATAGAGATCTTCGGCTTTCACCATTCAAGAGAGAAGATCCGGAACCTTCCAAAATTCTCGCCAAGAACTTATCCAATTAGCCAATGAAATTTTGATATATTTCGATTGCTTTGGATCTTCTCCCTTGAATGGTGAAAACTGCAGGTCTCTGTGATATTTCTATCAAAATTTATTCAAAAACCAATAGAGCACACCTTATTTTGAAATGAATAGTAGTTATTATCGTTAAGAAAAGAAGTCAAAAGTACTGCGTTTCTAAACGTTTTGCTTTCACTTTACTTATCATAGTTAATAAGATCATTTTTCTTATCGTTCAATATGGGTAAGGTAAATGGATATAGTAAAAAAGTAACTTGTGTTGCTTTATTTTGTTTTTTGACGAATTTTCTTATATTTTTTGTTCCTAATACAAACAATTGAATGTCAATTATTATTAGTATAGAATGAGTCTTTTTTTCTTATTTAGAACTCGACAACAAGATTTCTATGATCAATATTCATCATCATACAATGATTCACATTATTGGCATGGAAATAATTCAAATTCATATGATTTTTATGGTTCAACATTCATCTCATACACTTTTACAACAAAATGGTTTTACTCAACAAGTTTGTCTTAAATATAAACAACAATGTCTTGATGGTAAAAAAGAGACCTTGATTGCAGAGAAAAAAAAGTTTATTAGTTCAGTACATATTTACAATATTTCGAGAGAAACAAGCTACTGGTAAAAAAAATTGAAATTATGTTACATTGAACGTAAAAAAAACGAGTCTTTTAATGACTAAAGAAGAGTCAACATATCTAGAAACAACAATGAAAACTACTCTCCGGTAAAAATCAGAGTCTCAAAAAGACTTATATTCTTATTTAAATAGCTAATAGAGAATATGTCTGTTGCTATAATTTTCAAAAAAAACAAAGATTTTACTCTTTTATGGAGTTTTCTTAATAAATGCTATCATTCTTATCTACATGATAAATTTGAAAAGCAATAAAATAATCGTCAACGATTAAAAACACTAAGTTTTACTAATCGCCAAACTTTATTATTTCATAGAAAATATTTATAATCTAAAGTTATGTTGATTTACAAATAAAATACATTTTGTTTTCTGTAATGATCTAATTTCTAGAAAGCGTTAAACTTGATCCTGGTCAATCAATGGAAATGAATACACTCTATCGTTTTTAGTCATTTTCCTTATGTGAAAAATTTAATCGTTATATGTACAATGAATTTAAACAATATGCTGTTGAAGATACTAAAACTGATCATCGGCATATAAATGAATTGTTTTTATGAAAAATAATAAGAAAAAAATTGAATATTACTATTTATGTATAGATATGGTGTTGAATGTCTATTTCGATTTTATACATATGGTATAGAAAAACATTTTCGCCAACATGTATTTGAAGATTTTCAACATGAAACTCTTTGTAAGCATGAAGCTGGTAATAAAATAGATTACACAAAAAAAAAAAGAAAAGTGCCAATAACAAAAATAATTTTTCTATTTAGATCAATTATATGGTTTAGAAAAATTCTGGGCATTTTTAAAATATTCTCGACAGAAACCAAAAATCAATCCAAAACTTGAAGAAATTTTAAAAACTATAAAAATCTTGAAGACTTTCGTGTTGATGGTGCATCATTTCCACAACAATTTTTTCCAGCAAAATCAAATTATAGTAATTGAAAAACATTGTTTTTTTTTCTATTATATAAATAATTTCTTTATAGACTGTTCCAGCATACGAAGCAATTCAAATTCATTAAAACCCAATGGTGAACAATATCTGAACGGTGCTAAACTTTATACACGTTTTGTTTTTCTTTTATTTTGTCTAAAATAAAAAACGGTGCTCACATTTTTTCAAGTGGATTTCGATTTATTTAAAAATATGCATGTATTTTTTTTTTTGCTTTCAAAGTTTATTGTTATTTAATCATTTTCTATGTATATATTACATTGGTTTGTTATTGTAGTAGATAGATCGATTAAATAGTGATGCATTTTCTTTTTCTATCGATAGAGATACGAAGAATTTTCATATAGTTTCGTTTTGTTTCTGGAACTATTTGCTAATAAATTCATCTCGTTTATTTAATAATATTGGTAAGATATTGAGATAATATTTTATTTCGATAGAAGAATTTAGTGTTTTAGGAAGAATTGATATTGGTTTAGGTATCGGTGGTGGTGTGATTAATTCTATACTTTATAATGGTAAGTAATGAAAAGATTAAAAAAAACTTGTTTTCTTTAAATTTAAATATATTCTAGTTGATGATGGTCATCGAGATGTTATTTTTGATCGTTTTCAAGGTGTTAAACTAGATGTTATTGAAGAAGGAACTCATTTTATGATTTCATGGCTTCATAGACCAATTATATTTGATATCCGTACACAACCACGATCTGTTTCATCAATAACAGGAATAAAAGGTATAAAAGCTAGAAGAAAACAGTCAACCTCAGGAGAGAGGTGAACATGAGGAAAATGTAAGCTCGCGAAAAAAAGAAGGTAAATACGATGTGTATTGAAACATCAATGAATGTATATGGCTGAGGTATCTTAAAAAATTTTGTGGCCATCGATGGCGACTCAACTGATCGGTTAGATTTACAAACAATTAATATAACATTACGTATTCTTTATCAACCAAGAGCTGAACTTTTACCAAAAATTTTTACAAATTTGGGTTTAGATTATGAAGAACGTGTTTTACCATCGATTATTAATGAAGTTTTAAAATCTGTTGTACTAAGTCTCAATTTGATGCTATTCAATTGATTATACAACGTACACTTATTTCCCAACGTGTTAGTGAATTAGTCACAGAATGTGCTGCTCAATT